CACAGGGTCATGGTCAGCATGAGGGAACACCCATTGGCCCACTTGCACCCACCCACCACGGCCCACCCAGGACTGATCCAATCTTAGACCCACCTGGGCCTTGGGCCAACCCATCAGCTCCTTGACCCGTGTTGGCCTTGGCCCCACCAAGATGAACCCCACCTCAGTTTTAATCCACCCAGGGATTGACCCACCTTGGCCTTGGCCCACCCAGGGCTTGACCCATCATCTCCTTGACCCACCCAGGACTCAACCCACCCAATCCTTGACCCACCTGGTCTTGACCCACATGGTTGTTCTCTACCCAACCCTTGACCCATCTTGACCTTGGCACACCCAGGACTTGACCCATCCTGGTCTTGACTCACGTGTTTGTCCTCTACCCAACCCTTGACCCACCTTGGCCTTGGCCCACCCAATCCTTGACCCACGCTGCTCTTGACCCACGTGGTTGTCCTCTACCCAACCCTTGATCCACCTTGGCCTCCACCCAACCCTTGACCCACCTTGGCCTTGGGGCCACTCAGGGCTTGACCCATCATCTCCTTGACCCACCCAGGCCTCAGGCCATCCAAGACTTGACCCACGTTGGCCTTGGCTTACCCAGGACTCAACCAACCCAATCCTTTACTAACTCAGACCTTGACCCACCCAAGCCTTGACCCATCTCAGCTTCAATTCACCCAAGGGCTTTGACCCATCAAGACCTCACCCCACTTTCAGTCACCTACTTGGGGCCTCCCCTTCTCCCAGAGCCCCCCCAGCCCCATCTCCCAGGTCACCCTGTCCCACATTGTCTCCCCAGGAGTGGAGGGGACATAATTTTGGGGTCCTACCTCAGCAACATCTGGCAGGCCTTGCAGGATGTTGTGTCCTCAAAGGAGAACATCTGGAAGTCATGCCCATCGGCCAGGGCGTGCTCAGGGAAGATGTTGGAGCTGGCAAGAGATGGGGGGGGACCTGGGTCTGGTGGAGGCAAATTGGCCCCCCTGGGGCCACCCAGCTCCCACTGGGGCAGGTCCCCCCACCCTTGGGTGCAGGGGCACCTACAGGGCCATCTCGAACTGCTCCAGCCACTTCTTCTTCAGCTCATGGGTCTTGAAGAAGAGCTCGTAGCCCTGCAGCCCGGCCGTGTCGATGAGCAGGAAGGTGTGGGTCCACTGCGGGCATGGGTGGGGCTCAGGAGCGCCCCCATGCCTGGGGCCACTGGGGACCACATTCCTGGGGCCACCAGGCTTCAGTGGGACCACCAGACCTGGACACTTGGGTCCACCAAGGACCTCGATGCTTGGGTCCACCAGGGACCGGGATGCTGGGGTCCCCCAGACCTGGACATTTGGGTCCACCAGGGACCAGGATGCTGGGGTCCCCCAGACCTGGATTTCATTGGTGGCCTGGACACCTGGGTTCACTGGGAACTGGACACATGGGTCCACCAGGCTTAGATAGCTCCACTAAGGACCTGGACACTTGGGACCACCAGACCTGGATTCTTGGGACCACCAGGGACCTGGACACCTGGGTTCATTGGGAACCAGACGCCTAGGTCCCAGGGTACCTTCTTGCCGTCGCGGGGGCCGAGGCCACCGTCCCTCAGTTGGTGGCTCTGCAGGTCCACAACGTCTTTGGCCTCGTAGGAGTCCCCACGGCGCTTGCAGATGATCAGGGCCTTGTCGAGGAGGAAGCCATACCTGGGGACAAGGATGGGGGTGGCACTGGGTTCCTAAAGCCACCGCATGCCTTGGGGTGTCCCCACCACTGCCCTGGAGTGGCCCCAGGCTCTGTGACAAGGGTGTCCCCAAGGTGTCCTTGTGCTCCCATCCTTATATCCCTGTTGGTATCCCCATGGGAGTCCCTGTTTTCCCATGTCCCCATGGTGTCCCTGGGGTCTGTCCACGTCCCCAAGGGTGTCCCCACATCCCTCCATGTCCACATGACGTTCCCATGATGTTCCTGTGGTGTTCCCGTGGTGTTCCCATGTCTCCATGGGTCTCCCCGTGGCATCACCACGGTGTCCTTGTGGTGTCCCCATGTCACCACGGGTGTCCCCAGGTTCCTGTGGTGTCCCCATGGGTGTCCTTGCAGCTTTCCCATGGGTGCCCCCAGGTTCTTGTGGTGTTCCCATGGGTGTCCTTGCAGCTTTCCCGTGGGTGCCCCCAGGTTCTTGTGGTGACCCCATGAGTGTCCCCAGGTTCCTGTGGTGTCCCCGTGGGTGTCCCCAGGGTGCCCCTTGCCCCGTCCCACCTGTCCACCTTGGAGCGCCGCTCGGTGCTGGAGACCTTCATCTCTCCGTCGATTTTGGGGCGCCCGAACTGTGCCAGGGACTGGGGCTGTGCCGGGCATCAGCAGAGATGTAGGGGG